AAATAAATAAACAATAAATTTTAATGGACTTTATAACATAGAAAATGTAGATATAAATGTCAAAGTCCGAGGGCACAGAAATATTACCTTTTGAAATAAAAGCATTTTTTCAACCGGAACCTTTCTTCGAAAGATTCCCTTTTTGTGAGTATTAAAATATTTTCTGGCAAATCCATCTATGCGAAACTTATTTATATCTTGTTGTAATTCTGCTGGTAATGTCATAACCTCCCTGTATAAATAATAAACGTCAGAAATTTGTAATGAATTGGTTTTCGAGAATAAACTAAAGAAATAATTCAGATATTATGGTTCATACCCAGTACTTAGTTTACGAGTATGTATCTTGTATTCAGTTCTTTTTTTTTCAAGATCTCTATACGTGCCGGCTGGTCTCATGGCAGCCGCAGCGTCTTAATAAGAAAACAACCATTATGATTAATGATATTTTCAACACATCCATCATCATTGTGACAATATTTTCAACTATCATTGATAAAGTTAACCATCGCATATGTTTGCTATAAGTGGGAACGAAATTTAAGTGGATTTGGAATCTTTAATTAAATTAAAAAAACTTGAGAGTTTATTCTATGTGAATCTACATCTTAGCCCTAACGCTAAAATCAAGAAGTTCCAGATCCAATTAAATTCCGATCTCACTTATAAAATATTCAATCTGTTCTGTAAACTTTCCAAATACTTATTTTCCCGACATTATATCAATCAAATAATATTTTCTAAATATTTTCTCAAATAACTCATCAATTACAATAATATACTATTATAAATTGTCACAATATTCTTTTATTCAAGTATAATCAAGTAAACCATTTTAACACTTACCATAGTTTACACGAGGGTTGCTAATTCCAGTCTTTCTTGCACGTTCAGCGGCTTCAGTAGATTTCTTCGGAGACATAATCTTGAACAATTGATTTCCACTATTAGGGATGTTTCCAGAATTTGGGGTTTTTGGTCTAGAAGTTGAAGCCGTAGATACGCTCATCACAGAATCAATTGAAACTTTTGAATTCCGTCTTATCGGAATTAAGTCAATATCCTAGTAAAATAAATTTAAGATTAATATCTGAAAAAAAAAAAAAGATGAAAAAAAAGAAAGCCAGAGACAAACCCGGGAAGGTATATCAAAAGAGTTTGAAACTCCATATTTATCAGTAGAAGAATTTTGAGATGAGGAGCCCATAATATCATAGTTTACGGGATTTTCTTCATTAAAAGTTGAATTGTTCGAAACTTCTAATTGACTAGTTTCTTTAATTGAGGAATTTATATCGTTATCTTCATTTTCATTCCTCATAAAATCAGAGTCGAGTTGTTCTTGACTTGATGATTTAATTTCCGAGGACGGTGAAGCTATTGATGAAGCTGAATTATGTTTCGATAAAACGTAATTGATACTTAATAACCCAGAAGAGCGTTCCGGGGATACCATATTAGCATGTCTTAATCCATTAATTTGTTGTAATTGACTTATATCAATCTCATCATCCGTTGGAGTCAACGCAATTGATATCCTTTTACCAATTGACGAATTCTGAAATAAAGAATAAAAAAACAATGAAATAAAAAAAAAGATGATAAAGATGGTAGATAAGTTAACAAATTTAATACCTGAATTTTTGTCAGTGGAATAATTGTTCCACTTTCCGGACGAACCCATTCTGTCTGCCCAGATGCCGTATTATAATAATAAGGCAGTTGATGATTATCATCCCATAATTCCCACCATTCACCTGTTGGATCTTTTTGATGCCTGCGTAATAAGAGTTAGACCTTTTATTTGAAAAAGATTATTAGATGAATAATAAATAATAAATAAGACAAACTTACAATACCGTATTAGATGGTTTTTCCCACGCGCATTCACCAGTTTGCTAATTGAAACCAAATTTAGAGATTAATAAAATATAATAAATTAGCGGAAACATGACTTAAAAGAAAGATAAATACAGGATTAGCATAGAAGATATCCTTTGTATGTGGATCAGTTATTTCCACCCAAGCATTTACAAGAATTGTAGACATATTTATAATAGGTTATTAGACAATGAAAAGATACTTGGACGTAAGGGAAAAAAACAAGTGAAGGTATGACGCGCGATGAATGATAATGTTTTAAAGGAGATATTCTTGAACCATTAATGTAAATAGTTTTTAGAAGCTTTTATTCAGAGAATACGTACAAAATAGAAAAAACGAAACGGGGACTATAGAGATATAGAGTTACTTTATATACGTATTTTGAAATCTGCAGGGTTTCATGCATAAACTGAAGTCGGTAAAGAATGGAAAATGACGTTTCAAGAAAAGTACGAACGCACGTACGCAAGAAAATCGAAGGTTTATATAAATATTGTCAAAGAAAAACGAAGAAAGAATACAAAAACAACAAAATTTTAATTAAATAGGCTCAAGTTAACGTTAAACGTGAGAAGAGGAAGAATTATCCCTAAATTGTAATCGAAAACGAAAATCCGAGTTTTTTTAAAAAAAGATTACCTCTGCGTATTTATATGCTACCGATTGTCAAATTTAGTAAGTTACACGATTAATTAAACAAATAACTTAATTCATCAACAATAATTCGATGATAATAATACTTTTATAAGTTCTGGGCATTTTTCTGCGAGTGAAAAAAATGAAAAAAAGCTTGGGATTTATAAACCAGAAAATACCACAGAATATAACTCTAAATAAAGCTGAAAACCATCCGCCAACATGCCTGTCGAAGCTTAGGATTTTTTTTATATGTATTTATCTGAGCTTCACAACATTTATAAATAAAAAAACAAATTCCTATTGCTATTATTAATTGGGTATTTCGAGTAACGATGATAAAATGTTTTATTAATTAATCAATAATAATTTCCTCCTTAAAAACGATCACGTTAATTACCTCATGATTTTTTTATATAATTGAATCACAATGATTGTCATTTCGTATATATGGGGTTGAGTCAATAAAAATCAAGCAAATTTTTTCTAAGTAAATTTTTTTTAAACTTTAAACAACAATAA